TTCTTTGCACTTCCTCCATTATGAAGCTGTACAGTGCGCTATTTTAATAACACCATCCCACTTGGTAATATGTCACTAGTTTGGACAACTCTTTTGGAATTGTGCTTTCCAGATCTGTCTGTTTATACTTTTCTTCGTCTGATTATAACCTCAAGGTCAACAGGGACAAATACTTAGAACAAAGAATTTAAAATGCTGTTTATATTTACTCCAGGCCTGGGTTTCTTGTGTGTCCTGCCTCGTGCATATACTTGATACTCATGTGCTCGTCTATCAGCTTCCTGGCATAGATTTATGTCCCCCTGTTGAGACAGTAGTGCAGATATGATAACAAGATGACGTTAGGCCTGACAAGCCAAGTTTCTCTTACTGAACTTGTCACCCGCTCTAAGCCCAGCCTTAAGCACTGTGGGAAAAGCAAAGAGAAGTCGACACAAACAATATCACGTGCTGTTATATCAGGATATCTTAATACCCCCAGGTGTGCTGTGTCTTCAACACTCCTCTCAAGCAGAGAGGATAATCCGTGCACCACTGCACACCTTGACCTGTTATTGCTTGGATAGCTTTTTTGAAAGGCATAAGATGAGAATAACTGGCTACACAAATTCCAGCCTGTGGTGCAATGTGAGGCTGGGAGGATGTGATTAAAGCACAGAATTGACAGACTTGGATTCTGTTGCTGGCTCTGCCACAAGCGCCATGTGTGACCTGGGGAAGTCATTATTTAAACTCTACCTCGGTTTCCCATGTGTAGAATAGAGATAGTGGCCTAAGCAAAAGTGACGGGCGATTTTGGATGCCTCCATTTTTAGGCACTCAACTTGACATAGCCTAAAGGGACCTGATTTTCAGATCCCTGTGTTCTTAGCACTTTTCTGAAATCTGGCCTCTTTTTTTAATAGGTCTCAGGTTGAGCACCCGAAAAAAATCTCGTCATTTTGACAATGTAGCACAGTAATCTTGCCTCGCTCACGTGGAAACGATGAGGATTAAGAATCTGAGCCAAAGCCCACAGAAGTCAGTAGGATTCTGTGTCAGGTGCTTTCGATCAGGATGTAAATCACTAATGTTCACAAAACGCCTTGAGATCCTCTGATGTGCTGCTCTGTAGAGGGATAAAGTATGATTAGATGAGTCGTTTTGCAGGACTTCACAATGTTAACGGCTACCTTTTATCTCTCCAATTGTCAAGCCTTCCTCCTGCTTCAGGAGGAAGGGGCAGGGATGTGATCTCATGCAGGGTTACCTGCCCACAGATTCCTTGTCCGATTTGTTATTTGTTATAACCTCGTACATGCACATAGTGCTGTACAGTTGGTGCGCTTGTACCAAAGAAAACTCAATCCCTGCCTATAAGAGCTTAGTCCAGTGGCACAAATGGGATACTATACATCCCAATACCAAAAAGTGTATGGTTACTGTAGCTGTAATGTTTTGTGGAGTAGGCATGGGGTGTCTTTGGAGGACAAGAGCTGAAGGGTTTGGACATACATTGAGAGGCTTATTCCAAGCAGCCTGAATGGCATGAAATGAAGCACAGTCTGGAATAGGAGAAAGCCTATAGGAGAGACACCTGGGTGGTGGATTGGAGGAGGTGAGGCCACAGATACAGGCAAGGGAGGTTTTAGGGATTCCTTTGAAAGTGAAGTCCCTTTTTTGTGGAAGATAGAAGAAGGGATTGGGGGAAGCAAATGAAAAGGGGCTTTTGGCAGAGGTGTCCGAGATGGACTGGAAGGTCCGGAACAGGGGAGGAGTTTGCAGTAATGAAGAAAATTACCAAACCATGAACCAAGTCCAAGGGTGAAGAGGAAGGGACACATTCTGGGACACTTTATAGAGAAAAATGGCTGATTCCTTCCTGTTCCTGAGCTCCCCTGTAATTTTCTGTGCCAATGCCCTTCTACCTTCCAGGGGGCCTACTGAGTCCCCTGGAAGGGCGGCTGTCCCAGGGAATACTTCTTGTTGTAGGCCTGTTCAAAGCGTGTCAAAGAGGCTTCGATAAGCAGGAACTGTTGCTTTTTTTCTTTCATTCCAAAGCCTATTTCTGTTTGTTCAATTCTATCAATCTCTCGGCACACATCCTGAATAATTCTCTTTCAGTATCCATCCAAGCTGAGCCACGTGTCAGCTTACACGGAGCATGTTCCTAATTATCTCCCTCTGATGGGATGTCAGCATTAGACCAAACTGAATAATTATCACACTCCTTTGGAGATGTTTGTCTCTCTCTTTGATTCCCTGATTCATTGCTTTCACATTAAAAATTGATTAGCACCTTGCAAGAGGCAATTACTTTGCTAGCAGTTTCTCCTGTTGTTGAAGGTTTATTCCAGCGTCTAGAAGGGCAACGTTTCTTCCCTTTTGTGGAGGGGTGTGTGTGTGTGTGTGTGGGGGGGGGAGAGTAGGGAGGCTGTGCATTCCTGTGAGAAACCTAATAATTGCCCAATCTCCCTTATTTCAGTCTCAAACCCATCCATCCAGACCTCAGATAAAAAAGCCACTAAGGGCATGTCTTCACTACCAGGGCGATCGACGCTGCTGCAATCAATCCAGTGAAGACCCTCTAAATCGGTGGCAGAGCGCTCTCTAGTTGACCCTGGTACTCCACCTCTCCAAGAAGAGTAAGGGAAGTCGATTGGAGAGTGTCTTCTGTCGACACAGCGCAGTGAAGACACTGGGGTAAGTCAACCTAAGCTACGTCGACTGACTCCAGCTACATTATTCACGTAGCTGGAGTAGCGTAACTTAGATCGACATACCCCGGTAGTGAAGACAAGTCCTTGAGGTGCTTCCGCAGTTGGCCAGAAGGGTCGCTGTAAAGCAAAGCAGTTTTTTCTCTACACCCAAAAGAAGGTGCCACATTGTGAACCCCATGCTTCCAGCCAGTAAGGGCGTGAGAGACGGGTCATTGAAACAGTCTGCTTGCATAAAAGGGAGTTGTCTGCAAGAGCGAAGGGATGGGAATGATGGGTTCTTCTTCGAGAGATGTCCCTGTGGGTGCTCCACTCCAGGTGTTGGTGCGTCCCTGCGCCTTTGCTCGGAGATATTTGTAGCAGTACTTGTACCGGCTACGCATGTGCAGAGCCTGCCCCCCTACCCCCCTCCCGCCCCACTCTGAGTCTAGCTTAATAGTACGCATGCGCGGCCGGTCTCCTCAGTTCCTTCTCTACCGTCCCCGGCCTGAGACGGAGCTCAGCAGACTCGTTAAGAAATTCTTTCCTCTGGTTACAGTTGCCTTCTAGTTAGTTAGTTTGTTGTTAGTTCGTTGTCAGTTATAATTAGTTACCGCTTCTATCTGTTACAAGGGAAAAAAAAATTCGTTCCTGTCAGCCGCAGCCACTTCAGACATACCTGGCTCCACAGGCTTTAGGCGCTGCTCTACCTGCAAGGAGGCTATCCCTCTGTCAGATGGCCATTCACAATGCATACAATGTTTGGGGGAGACCCACATTCCCCAAAGATGTGCCCACTGCAGCAAACTTAGCTCCAGGGCACGGAAGGACAGGGAGCTTAGACTCAAACTGCTCCTCCTTCAGAAATCCCTGGGGTCAGTTTCGGACCCAGGCGCTGATTCCGGCTCCGCTGCCCGCCACAGCCCCCTGCCTCAAAGAAGCTCAAAAAAACTACAAAAAAAGGGCAACTTTCGTCACCAAAGAAGGTTATGAGACACAAAATCTCTTCAGGCAGATCAATAGTTTCCCTGCCTGTGCTCCCCCACTTGAGTACATTTGATGAGCTGGGCTCCTCCGGTACTGCGCAAAACCCGCCTGAGGCTGCGGCAGCGGCGTGAAGCTCCGGTGCCGAGGCTTCAGGCTTCCAGCTGCCTGCCTCTCTTTTGGCACCGACGGACGCGGTGCCGACATTCCACAACCTGCCTGAACCCCTGCGGGCTGATGTTGCTCTCCCGGCACCGGCCACAGCACTGACACCCGCGGAGCTGACTGGCAGTGAGCCAAGACTCAAAACACCGGCTCAGAGGAATGTTTCCTCTCTGCAACTTCCTCCTGCACAGCCTTCACCTCAAAGAGGAGCCTCAGCACTGCAGTTCACTCAGGCAAGAGATCTGTTTGTGTCACCCATCCTGCAGTCACCCCTGCAGAATGCCTGCTTCTCTCCAATGGCTGAGTCAGGGTCTGAACAGCCTTCCTCCAGTGAGGAGGAAGCTGAACCACAGGGGGATTTTTCACAGTATCAAGACTTGCATCCCCAGACCCCAGTCAACAGAGGTCATAGAAAAATCCCATCATCCTATTCTCAGGATCCTGCCCCCTGGGGCGTGAACCTACCCACCACAATGGCAATATTGGGCCCCATGGGCACCATACCCTCGAGAACACACGCGCTATTCCACCTCAACCAGGCGCAACACCTGCCTAGCACCACTACCTGACGAACCTGCCAATGACACAAGACACCAGGCAGCACCGTCATACTTGCAGGATCAACCAAGTCTTGCTCCTATCCCAGTAGAGCCGGAGGTTACACCTGAAGAAGCCTTACTTCCCCCTCCTCCAACATCGTCGGATGACTTCTCAAAATTCCAAGACCTTTTAAAAAGAGTGGCCAGTGACTTGAGAATTAACTTGGAGGAAGTCCCTGAACAACAGCATGAGTTAACAGACATCCTACAACCCTCTTCTTCTTCTAGGGTTGCATTACCAATCAACGTAGCCCTTTTAGAACCTGCTGAGTCCATCTGGCAGACTCCAGCTACAAGCCTACCTACCTGTAAACAAGCGGACCGGAAGTACTTCATCCCTTTTAAGGGCTCTGAATTCCTTTTTACCTATCCGGTGCCAAACTCGTTGGTAGTAGATGCGGTGAACCAAAGGACCAAACAACAGTATTCCCGCTCCACCCCGGCCAACAAGGAAAGTAAACGTTTGGACCTCTTTGGTCGTAAAGTATATGCATCCTCAACGTTACAATTTCGTATTGCTAATTATACTGCAGTTCTCGCAAAATATGACCACAGAAACTATAATAAATTCATGGACTTTATTGATGACATCCTAGAACAGAAGAAACAACAATTCACAGCTCTGGTTTCCGAGGGACAAATCATATCACGTACCGCTCTTCAAGCGGCCCTCGATGTAGCCAATACTTCAGCAAGATCGACCGCCACAGCAGTGGTCATGCGCCGAGGGTCATGGCTCTCCTCCTCTTTCTTTCCTCGAGAGGTCCAGAGTACCATTGAAGATCTTCCTTTTGACGGTGAAAAACTCTTTGCTTCCACCACAAATGACATACTTCATCCAATGAAGGACTCAAGGGCAACCCTCCGATCCTTAGGTCTCCAGACACCTATGACCAGAAGGCGACAATATAGATATCAACCTTACCAACGTCCACGCTACCCCGCATATACACAACACTTCCATAGATCACAGGAGCAACAACAGCAACGCCAGAGACCGAGATTCCAGTGTCGTCGTCCTAATTCTGCAGGGGCGCCTCAACCACCTCCAATTAATAAACAAATTTGAAGGCTTGGTAGAGGGTTTAGAAAACAGCGTTCCCACTTCAGCCAGTACACCTATTTTTGGACACCACCTACGACCATTCTCAATTCTCCCATCAATGGCAGAACATTACCACCGACAAGTGGGTTATAGAGGTCGTTACAATTGGCTACTCCATCCCCTTCCTCTCCTTGCCTCCCATCCACCCTCCCCGTCCCTCTTCAGGGACCCTTCTCACGAGCAACTACTCCTCCAAGAAGTGCAACATCTCCTTCAACTGGGAGCAATAGAAATTGTGCCTGAAC